CATGGGCTGGTATGAGATTGCACAACCCTCAGGTGTGATGCTGTGTCTGTGGATAAACTAATGTGATGAGTGGGCACCTGTGTCAGTACATGGATGCACATGTGTGAACATATAAATCTGTGTGTGGTGCATGGAATGGCACATGTGCACATGCTTGTGAATGTGTGTGTGCACACGCAGGTGTGGAGAAGGCTTGGCTCCTCTGCGTGCTCTACACAGCACAGAGCCTGAACGCTGAGCAAACGGCACTGGGACTCGGCCGTGCTCCTTGCACCGGGTAAGGTGGGGGCTGGTGGGCACAGGGCCTGCTCCCCCATACCCCCACTCACACCCAGGGCGAGGCAGGAGACTGAAGACCTGGCTCATCATTCCCAGGGCCCTGTCCCTTCCCACACCTGTAACTTCTTGAAGATGCAAATTCCTCTTTGCTCCATGCAAACGAGACCCAAGAGCCAAGACTACCTCCCCTTGGGCCCAACCACACGGACCCCTCAGCCTGGCAGCCGGCTTGGGCATTGGAACCAGTTGGGAGTCTGTTCCTGTTTCCCAACGACTGATTCTTTCTCTTCCCTCGGGGGTCTTGGCTCTCCTGGCTGGCTCGCCTGTCCTGGAGAGCGCCTGCCTGGGAGGGCCCCGCACTGGCTGTGGGACTTGGCAGAAGGCCGTGCCCTCCCTGGGGGAGCTCTAAGGCCCTTCCTGGTCTCATGTTTGGGAATGCTCTAGTTACTGTCCCTCACCCTGGAGAGGGGCCTGGTTCTCCCAGACCCTCCTGCCTGGCATGATTACTGCGGGCCCCACTCACGGGACCCTAAGCCTAACCCAGTTCCCCACTGGTGCTCACTTTTCGCCTCCAAGGTTCTATCTTCCCAACGAGGACATGTGTCTTCATCATCAGCCCTGGATGACCCACATCCACAGGGGCTCAACATACACATAAAATGTTCTCCTGACCCATCTTGGTAACAACTGCCCCGAATCCACCAGCTCTCTGTGGGAACCCCCAACCCCAAGCCTTCAGGAGCCCATGGCTCCTGGTTCAAGTGTGCTCAGGAAGCCGGGACGTGTGGGAGAGGCAAGTGAAGGAAACTGCATGAAGAGCTGAAGATGCTCACTGGACCTGGGTGCTGTCCGACACCAGCAAATGCCACGAGGATGTGGCCTACCTGTGGCCGGGCCTTCACACCTGGTTCTGCTGCTGTTACGGGTCCTCGCGGAAGTGAACGTGTGAGCCCCAGCGCTCCGCCCTCAGAAGTGGTAAACCAGAGTGGCCGAGCCAGTTCCCAGGCACAGGTTTCTGGGCTGTCGTTCTTGACTTTGGCACACCCGTGACTCCCCCCATGCCTGCCCACGCCTTTCCAGGAGCCCTGCCACTGTCTGGGGCCTGAGCTGGGCTGGGCAGTGTTCTCCAGAAATCAGCTAGCCCAGCTCAGGCAGTCTCTCTGACCCATTTGTTCTTTCTTCATCCGACAAATGCGCATTGAGAGCTTCCGGTACGCAGCTGCTGAGTGCAGCCTCCTCCCACAGAACCTCTTCTTAGAGGAAATTTCCTAGACTCTTCCAGCATGGTCCTTTCCCGTTATCTCAGGTCCCACCCCACACCAAGAAATGTCTACATGGCAAGAATTTGCTGGAGATGAGGGCTGTGGTCCAGGAGAGACTCCTGTGCAGGCTACAGATTTTTTAGACTCTGCCTCCCAAATGCCCAACGTCCCAGTCCCTTCCCCTCCAGAGCTCAGACCCCCCAGGGTCTGGGTGAGCCCAGATCACAAAATGACAATGGTCTTGTTTTGGACACATACTGGACACTTACCATGTGCCACGTATATAACACTAAACTTTTATGATGAGTTCCACTTCTCATACCTCTGGAGGAAAAAAAAAACTGTCCTCATTTACAGATTAGGGCACTGAGTGTTTAAATATATGTGCAGTGCGTAAGCAGCAGAGCCTAGATCCAAACCCACGCTTGCCTCTGTGGAGTGGAGAGCAGAGGCAGTACAGCCTGGAGGACGGGGTTGGGTAGCATACTTGCAGGGGGAGACTGGCCAGGCCAGTGTCCATCCTTCCAGAGGCCCTGCCACGTGGTGCCCTCTGCTGGCCCTGGGCCCAGGCTGCACCAGCTCCCAGGTGGCCACACTCCCAGCACAGGCCGTGCACACTCCCCTCCGGCCTGGTACACCTCAGGGCAGCCATACCCTAAGGCGGCATTCCTCACAGCTCAGCTGCAATCCCTTCCTGGCTCTTGCTGTCTCACTGTCCAGTGTGTGTTTTTGGGGAGGAAGGGGGCGCTTCTGAGAGGCTTGGAACAGTGGCAGCCCAGCCTTTCAGGCATCTTGGGTGTCTTGGCTGCTGACCAGAGCTAGGAGCTTGGTGCGGGCAAGCATGGCCCCACTCATACACAGCAACCTCCCCCCTTCTCTCTGCCTCTTTTTTCCCCACAGCTCTGTAGGAAAAATTCCTAACACTTGACCCCAGGGCCCTAGACCACCCTTGGGAGGACAGGACCACAGGAACCAGGCAGCAGAAGCAGGCTGGGGTCCTGGTTTTATTGTTCTGTGCCCTTGTACGGGGGCCCTGGGTGGGGGGCCACTCCTGGCCTGGACAGCACCTAGGCCCTGTCATCTTCAACCCATCTATAGGAACGACCAGCAGGGAGAAAGCTAGGACACAGGGTCTAGAGACAGGATGAGAGACGCCAACTGCAGCCATCAGAGCTCTGAGTCTGAGGAGGGGCCTTTTGGAAGCTGGGGCAATGAGCAGGCTTTCAGGGAAAATGTGACAGACGAGGCCAAACTCATGGACACTCCTTTGATGATTTCATCTAATCCTGAGACTTCAAATTCCATCTAATGGCTGATGACATCCAAGTGTAAGAAGCATTTCCCCAGGTCAGAACTAAGAGCTAAAAATGATATTAAGACCCTGACTAGTGTGGCTTACTTAGTTGGTTGAGCATTGTCCTACAAAGTGAAAGGTTGCCAGTTCGATTCCCAGTCAGGGCAGATGCCTGGGTTTGTGGGTTCCGTCCCCAGTTGTGGTGGCCAATTGATGTTTCTCACACTGATGTTTCTTACTCTCTCTTTTTCCCTCCCTCCCCTTCCAAAAATAAAAGTCTCTTTTTAAGAATAAAATGACACTAAGGAAATCCATGGTTTCTAAGCCACCACAGCTCCATTTTACAGTCACCTGAAACCCATCGGTCATGCCAGCCTGCCAGGGTCTGTTCTCTGGACCCCGACCCCAAGCTCCCATTCTCTCAGGCTCAGAGCAACCTCGTGTGCCCCCTCTCTCACTTCCATTCTGAAATACAGGGCTGTCGTGAGTGCCCTTGGTTGCCAGACAGGACTGGACACAGGTGGTGTCATGTCTGGGAAAGTGGCTGGGTCACAGCGTGCAGTTGAGGGAGGGGCCTTCTGGAGAACAGGGTGGGAGGCGCCCAGGTTCAACCTGAGCTGGGGCAGGGAGGTGGCTTGAGAAGACCTGTTTGCTTTGTCAGGAGGGCTGGGCCCAGACCACTGCCTCCCCCGCCTCACCCCCCAGGTGAAAGCTCAACCGAGAGCCCCCTCCCTGTCATCTAGCCCCCGTGGGAATGGCTCAGGCCAGGAGCTACCATCAAACCTGCTCCCTTCTCCCAGGGCCTGGTGACTTCTCGGCAGGTTACAGCCCCAAAGACAAACATTCTGCCAAGCAAATAACTGTCCAGCAGCAGGGGTGCTGGGGAAGGCCTGGGAGTGGGTCTGAGTTGCCAGAAGACAGGGTGGGGGCCCCTCTCCTGCAGAGAACAAACAGCTGTAGGCACCTGGAAGGAAGCAGGATGTGGGTGCACTGACACAGTCCTAGGAGCGGGCACCAGGGTGCTCCCCCAGGGTCTCCAGCCAGTCTTCTAGCTCCCTCACCACGGGCTGCTGCACGTCAGGCTACCCAGAAACAGGAGTCTTGCATTCAGGCCCTTGGGGCAGGGACCAGCTCGTTTGTGGTGCCTCCATGTTCCTCGTGCAGTCTCTGGCCACAGGTTCTTTCACTGAGCTGCCACCTGCAGGGAACTGGCCAGGGAGTCTCCGACCCTTGACCCTCAGCCCCTAGACACACTGCTCACACCCAGGTCCACTGTAGTTCAGAACACAACACACAGCTTTGCCAGCCAGGGTGAAGATCCAATTTAGGGGTCTGCAACTTCAGTGAAAACCATGCCAGCACCTGGGAACCGAGGGCATGGGTTCAAGCCTGTAGGACCCAAGCAACTCCCTCCTTCCCTCCGAGCTCACTTTCCTGTCAATGCAGAGGGGTGATGTTGTGACTGAGGAAAAACTTGAATTCTGAGCCCTTAATTAAGAGTGCTACAGACCAGAAGGAATGGATCCAGTGAACCCACCGTTTGCCGCCATACCTGCCAATTAAGTTTTTCATGCTGACAATGTGTAATCTACCTCTTTTGCTCTTGGCCAAGGTCAGGCCTGTCTCACATAAGTATGTGGAGTAGCTTCCATGTTTTCTTGCTAATTGCCTGGAGCGCGGTCCCTACCTGACTCTTAGGACCCCAGGCAGTCTGCAAAAACTTTCCTAACCCATCAAATACCAGAAGGAGAGCCTGGGGCACCATCAAGAAAACCCATAAGGAAAGATGTATTCCCTCTAGGATGCTGAGGCCCCTGCGGGACTGAGGACTCCCCCTGAACCCGGCCTTGTCTGCTTCTCAGTCGGAAAGATGCCCATCATGCTCTGTGCTCTCCCTGAGCTGCGCGCCCGATTCACAGCGAAGGTGGACGGAGGAGTACTCAACAGACACGTGGGACCCTGGAGGCCTAGGAAGGGCAGCAGATCTCATCATAACCCCAGGACTGATCTCCCAAACATATAACGAACCTCAGGGTCTCAGTCTCCCCGCACGCAGAAGGGAAAAATCCAGAGAGCAAACAGTGTACACTGCAGAGCCAAAATTTGGGGCTAAGCAGGTACATGGGGCTTCAGGGTACAAGAAAACTCACTGACACACGTGACAATTGTTTTTGGTGTGTGTTAATTTAATCATACAAATATTCATTTATACAGTAAGGAAAAACCTCCTCATCTTCATCTCCTCCCAGGCACCACGAGGCCCCACCACAAACACCCACCCAGCTTGCTTACTATACACCCGTCGGGGGGGCAGCCACTGCTGCTCCAGCCTTCACCCAAGGACACAAAGACAAGGCAAGGCAGGGCGGGGTGGGCGATCGAGTGCTTTTCTGAGCCCCGGCAACCCCACCATCCTCTCCTGAGGGGGCTCGGATTGGACTTGGGAGCTGTTTATTCTCATGCCCATTCCCCACCCGGTCACCCTCCAGCCACACCGGCTGTCTTGCTTAGGTTCTTTCTAGGTTGGAAGTGCCTTAGATGGGTTTCAGGTTATAGCCAGTCCTTATAAAGGGAGAGAAATCTGTCTCTTGCAGAAAAATGCCCTGAATTCAACTGTCCCCATGACAAAAAAAAAAAAGGGCATGCACGTGTGCACACACATCCACACACCTCACCCCATGCACACAGACGGGCTCTTCCCGAGCTGGAGCCCCTCCACCTCCCACATTGGACTTCCCACATCCCCTAAGGGTGGTGCCTACCTCACCTCGTGGGTCTGACACTGGTGTTCCTGCCCACAGACAGCAGCTGTTCGGTGAAGAGCAGAAGCTACTGGGGCTGAGAAGGTAGCCTGTACCACCCCACTATCAGTGAGGAAGGCTCACACCAGTGAGTGGAGGCAGAATGAATGGTACAGCTAACCCCTGGTCCAGGGGAGCCATGGACTCCTGCCCCTACTCCATGGCTTGCACTTGCTCTGGCCCTCTGCAAGGATGTGTATGGAAATAGTTTGTTCTCGGGAGGGAAGGCAGCATGACTGGGACAGTCACCTTGCCAGGTCAGGGTGCCTACAAGCGAAAGCAGCAGGTCTCTGCTGAACAGCGGCAGGCAGCTCCTCCCGGGAAACGGTGAAGAGGCAACTTGCACGGGGCACCTAGAGACATGCCACTCCGAGGACTATCAAACGAGGAGAATGCTAGGCATGGGCGGGCTCCAGGGAGGCGGTGTCCCAGGAAGTTGGCACCAACAGAAGTGGCAGTCTGGGCCTAACAGGGTCCTCAGCCAAAAAGTTATCATGAGCCCCTGGCTTGGGCACCTGACAGGGACACCCCTCTGCTCTGCTCAGAAATGGGGTACTCTCCATGTGCATAAAAAGTGGGCACCCCAGTGTGAGCCCTGGTCCAGCCCCAGACCTAGCTGTACTGCCCCGCTCTGCAGGCTGGCTCCACTCCCCCCCCCCCCCCGGGGGCTTCTCCAGTGGACCAAAATATATCCCCTCTTTTATTTCTGGGGGAGGAGGGAAGGCAAAAGGGTTTATTTCATACAAGCTTATCGCTCACAATCAAGCTTTTAAAAAACAGTCTCAGAAGAGGATGAGGAGGAACAAACAACACACATTTTTTGAACTCACACACCCAAACAGAGACAGACAGGCAGGCAGACCCTCACCCGCACCCAGGCTATACGACCCCTTGCAGCCACTCATCACCTGGTCTCCCTCCTTGACTCACACCCCCAGGGTGGGCTGGGGTGTGGTAACAGACAGGCAACTGAGCCCTACATCCTAGATCCATACCCCTGGCTTCCAAACCAACCAACACTTGAGGGAAGGAGGGGGGTGAGAAGAGAAGAGGGACTTTGCATATTCTTGTATCTTTGGCAGACAGCTGTTCTAGCCTGGTTCGAGCTCCCTATGGAGATACCCACATCTCAACCTGCTCAGTATCCACAGGAAGCCAGTGGGGCTTCCCGCCCAAGCGAGCAACCAGCCAGCCAGCCTCTGCTCTGGCTGGGCTGCCTGTTGCCCACCACCTCCCGATAACCACGCATCCTGCTCAGGACGAGGGTCCTCTCATTTCCACCCAAGTGTGGTCTCCAAGATCACAGAGTCAATAACTCTGGCCCTTCCCCATGGCAAGTTCCCCGATTGTGGCTGTATTTTCATACCTTAACAGCTCAGCCTCCACTAACAGGCTATGAAAACACCACAAAAGACAGTGAGAGGAAACACAGGGAAGGGGGTTGTGTGACAACAGAGAAGCATGGGACCTTTACTTCACACTTGCTGGTGAGCTGCACCAACATCCGTGAGTGTGCATGTGGCACGCACATATATGCGGCACAGAGGCACTGCTCCCAGAGTGACTGGGGGCCACTGTGGATGCAGAATCCAAACAGCAGTAAGCACGATGACATTTCTGCCACGGGAAACACGGGAGAAAAGCAGTCTGAACTGTGACAAGTGTGTGCAGAAGGACACCTCTCAGCCTTCGAAACTCCCGCATCATCTGAGGCCTGTCCTCAGGCTTCCTCTGCTGGCCACACAGGGAAGTTTGGTCTTTAGAGAGGTTCTGACAATTACAGATGTCAAAGGTGTAAATCAACAGAAGATGGAAGAGAAAAGAAGAGGAAAGGGGCAATAGCTCACTGGCTGATGCCATCAGACTCTGGATCACGCGGCGTGGCAGATGCCTCCTGAAGCACTGCCCACGAGCCCCCAACACCACACCGGCTCTGAACCTGAACTCCCGGAGCAAGCGGCTATTCTACAAAGAGTATGTTATCCTTTATCTAAAAAAATAGAAGTGTAGAAAGAGGGGGGGAAATTAACATGTGCTCAAAACTACAACCTGTCTGTAGGCAAAATAATTTTTGTTCAAAAAGATGGCTTTTTTCCCCTTCCCGAGTGGCCTAAATACTTGTTAGACTGACGCCTAATAAACAAAACCCAAGGTGGCTGCATGGATTTCTTCTTGGTAGCCTCAACACCACTCCAGCGATTCAGCATTCACACATGCACACTGAGTTTACTCAAAACTAGTCTGTTCTGCTTCTTCCTCTTCTTCCAGGATGGACGATCAGAGCCAGAGGTCCGTGCGATGTGGTCTACAATCCAGAGGAACCCCTTGCCCGCCCGCCACCAAAGTCAACCTTCTGTCTTTTGTTAGTTTTTCTTCTTGCTGACACCCGTTTAAGATTGGCCGAAGGGGTAAGGCCCATGGAGCCCCTGGAAGAGAGTGAACACAGTCAGTGATGGTAGACACAGCAGGTACAATGTGACAACCAAAGCCAAGTTACAGAATCTATGATTCCCAGTGAGGTATAAGGAAACTCCAAGGCACAGATAAGGCTTGAGGGTTGTCCTTACCATGCAAAACCTCAGGAGGCCAAACATCAGCACATTTCAGCCTTGAACAGTGCAGCTCAATGAACTGGGTGCCAGCCCACAAACTAATAGGTCACTGGTTCGGTTCCCAGTCAAGGGAACATGCCTGGGTTGTGGGGCCACATCCCAGGTTGGCGACCTGAGATGACGGTTCTCTCACACATCAATGTTTCTCTCCCTCCCTTCCCCTCTAAAAATAAGTAAGTCTTAAACAAAACAAAACAAAACAAAAAAACCCCCAAACTAGCCCTGGCTGGTGTGGCTCAATAGATTGAGTGCCAGCCTATGAACCAAAGGGTGGCCAATTCGATTCCCAGTCAGGGTACATTGCTGGGTTGCGGATCAGGTCCCTGGTGGGGGGGACACACAAAAGGTAACCACACACTGATGTTTCTCTCCCTCTCTTTCTCCTTCCCTTCCCCTGTCTAAAAATAAATAAATAAATAAATAAAGTCTTAAAAAAAAATAAAGCTAGAGGAAAATATCATTGCTGCTAAGGCATCTATAAATTATAAAACTCCCAGTCCAAATATCAGTATATTTCAAGTTCCTAAGTATTCTCACTCAATCATGCCATCCAAAGATTGGGGGTCTGGGAAAGAGATTCCTCATTTTCAAAGTTCTAGGTCAATCAGTACCAACTTTCCTCTACCTAGGTCTCAAAGCCTTCTTTCCTTCTTGACAATATTTCAATCTCTCAGCTAAAGATCCACTTTCTGCACCTTAACTTCCACGATGTAGGTCACTGCTGGCTAATGACACTTCTATCAACAACAACACTGCGGCAGAAAAGTGACTATTTACTGGGCACCTGGGTACCAGGCCCAGGCACTAGGAGCTTTGCATGCATTTTCTTTACTCCTCATCTCAACAGCCAGGTGAGTATTATCACACCCATTTGACAAATGCCCATTTGACTACAGAGACTAAGAGCCTCATTCAAAGTCAAATGGCAGAGCCAAGGTTCAAACCCAAGTCTGATCTTCTTTTTCTTCACAATGCCTCTCCCTTGTCACATGGTAAGGTTTATTCCAAATTCTCAAAGGCATTTTCTATGCTGCTTGGCTGGGTGGAGAAGGCATCCCAGTCTCACTTCTCTCTTTGGTTAAGATGTGCCAACACCAAAGCAGCTGCATGAACTTGGTGCAGGATGACCTGTGCCTTGTCCACTCCCACGCCCCTCCTGGAGTGTGCCCCCTAAAAAAACCTGGTCAATGCCAAGACCGAGAAGGCAAAGGTAACTGGTGATCAACCTCACTGGGGTCCCACACCCAAAACTGGCCCAGAAGCAGCAGCAGGGGGCCCTTGAACCAAAAGGACCAAATGGGAACAGGGAGCAGTCATCTCAGCTGTAACCAAATGACCAGAAAGGGGCTTCCCTGATTTGACAACTACATTAAGAATCCTGAAAGTAGGTAAAGCTCACAGGGAGGAGGCACAATGACTGAGATGACATCTTCCTTTAGCTTGATGGGATGTGGGCATTCAAAATTTGGCTGCCTTAAAATATGATACATTCCGTCCAGGTTGGTGTCGCTCAGTGCATTGAGGTTGTGGGTTCGAAAGGTGCCTGTTTGATTCCCAGTCAGGGCACATGCCTGGGTTTTAGGCCTGGTCCCTGGTTGGGGGCATGCAAGAGGCAACCAATCTATGTTTCTCTCATACATCAATGTTTCTCTCCCTCTCCCCGCCTGTCTAAAAATGAGTAAAATCTTAAAAAACAAAAACCCCCCAGCACATTTCTTTAAAAGAAATAGAAGTGCTTGATTGCAGAGTTGCCAGTAGTTAGAATCCCTCTTCAGTATGACTGTTTGCTGCCATCTCCCAGCACATTGCCTGGCCCTTAGTAGACACCCAGTAAGTATCTGCTGAATCATAACAGAACGAAGAGGGTATTTCTCAGACTACTACCAGGAGTGTCAAGCTCCTCTAAATCACAGGAATATTAGCCCTTCTAAAACCAAGTTTTTAAACAGCTACTGAGGCCTGGGGACACAACAGTCGGGGTCATGCCATCCATCTGGTCACAGCTTCCCAGGCCCCGGGAGGGGCTGGGCTCTCTGGAGGTGGTTAGCAGCCACGCACAAGCCTCACTCCCTGCTGCAGCGGGTACAGATGGTGTCGCAACAGGAGAGGAGATCTGGGTTCCGCTCTCGGCTCTGCACCAGCTCACCAAGTGACCTTGAGTAAGGTCCCTTCCCCTCACAGGATCTCAGGTTCCTCCCTAAATCTTGCCAGGTTTAAGGTTCTAGCAGTTGACACAAAATGCCTTGGTTCAGGAGGCTGAAAACCAGTATTCCAAGGGGGAAAAATGCCCTTTAGTCATGCCTAGGCGAGAAGTCAAAGCTGCCAACAGGGAACATGAGATTAAAGTTCCTGTATTTTTTTCAGTGAAAAGCACCGAAACTGCTTTTGCTTCGCTCACCCATCCTGACACAAAGCCACAAAAGACCAGCTAGAGAGCTGCTTGGTGGTGTCGCTGCACAAAAGAGCCGAAGGTGTATTTGGAGGGGGGCATGCCAACACTGATGGAGTATCAACTATGTGCCAGGTGCTGCTCTGGCACTTGAACATGTTCTCTTTAATTCTTACAAAAATCCACTGAAACAAGTATGATCTCCAAGCTCAGAAAGGTGTGGTAACCTGATCAAGGACACAGCTGGAAAGTAGCACAGTTGTGTTTAAAATGCCAAAATGCCACATTTCTTGCCAGCCTCTAAGCCAATCATGCTTCCAGCAGGCAAGCTAATGCCATAACCATCTCAGTAGCCATGGTACCTACCCACTCAACCAAGTGGGGGCCAGGCAGCAAAGGGCTCTCAGACTCCCCTTTGTGGGGCCTGGGCACAAGGTCACACACACCACAGGTGGCAAGTAAAGAAGCTTAAAACAAGTCACTCTTGGTGCTTCCCAACAGTATTCATTCATCTGGAACAACCCAAGGAAAGTAGCAGAGGCTTAGATTCCCATAAGACTTAAAACCAATACAATGCTCAAAGCTCTCTGTACAGGAAAAAAATAGGAAAGAAAATCTCAAAACAGCATTTGTTTTCTATGAAATAGTTCCCCCTTTAACTCAAATTTAACTGCCTTCCAGACCAAAGCTCCACACATTTCACATGGGATTTCATAAAGGAAGACTAGCTTTCAAACTTGCCTCAAATGGCTGGAGAAGGGAATTTATGACTTGTCCAGGAGCTGCTGTACGTCCCTGCTTTACAGAGATGTAAGACAGGTCCTATGCTACTGGCAGAGAGAGGAATGAAGACACGGGCATTTTCAGACTTCCACCTCAGTGCCCCAGCTCTTACACCATTTAACCAGCCTAGACTACGGAGTTACCGCCGGTCTTTCACTTACTGACCGAGGTTCTGTGCCTTTTGGAAAGAAAAATGCTACCTAATTCCCTTTCACCCAGGGCATGGCATATTGGAGTTGTTGAACTGCTACAGAAAGGCAGCTTGAGAGCAAGCTATCTTTTCCTTCTCCTCAAATTATCTACCATCACTTCAAGAAAGGGAGAGAAAGCCAATTCTACTTCCTTTTTTTTAAACATATTTTATTGATTATGCTATTACAGTTGTCCCAATCCCCCCTTCATTCCCCTCCACCCTGCTCACCCTCTCCCACTCACATTCCCCCTTTAGTTCATGTCCATGTGTCATACTTATAAGTTCTTTAGCTTCCACATTTCTCATACTGTTCTTACCACTGCCCCCACACCCGTCTATTTTCTACCTACCATCTATGCTACTTATTCTCTGTACCATTTCCCCTCTCTCCCCTTCCCACTCCTCTGTTGATAACCCTCCATGTGATCTCCATTTCTGTGGTTCTGTTCCTCTTCTAGTTGACTGCTTAGTTTCTTTTGGTTTTGTTTTAGGCGTGGTTGTTAATAATTGTGAGTTTGCTGTCATTTTACTATACATGTTTTTTATCTTCCTTTTCCTAGATAAGTCCCTTTAACATTTCATAGAATAAGGGTTCGGTGATGCTGAACTCCTTTAACTTGACCTTATGTGGGAAGCACTTTATCTGCCCTTCCATTCTAAATGAAAGCTTTGCTGGATAGAGTAATCTTGGATGTAGGTCCTTGCCTTTCATGACTTGGAAGACTTCTTTCCAGCCCCTTCTTGCCTGCAAGGTCTCTTTTGAGAAATCAGCTGACAGTCTGATGGGAACTCCTTTTAAGTAACTGCCTCCTTATCTTTTGCTGCTTCTAGGATTCTCCCCTTCATTTTTACCTTGGCTAATGTAATTATGATGTGTTTGGTGTGTTCCTCCTTGGGTCCAACTTCTTTGGGACTCTCTGAGCTTCCTGGACTTCCCGGAAGTCTATTTCCTTTGCCAGATTGGGGAAGTTCTCCTTTATTATTTGTTCAAATAACTTTTCCACTTGCTGCTCTTCCTCTTTTCCTTCTGGTACCCCTATAATTTGGATGGTGGAACGTTTCAAGATGTCCTGAAGGTTCCTAAGCCTCTCCTCATTTTTTTAAATTCTTATTTCTTCATTCTTTTCTGTTTGGTTGCTCTTTCTTCCTTCTGGTCCACTCTATTGTTTTGAGTCCCAGTTTCCTTCCCATCACTATTGGTTCCCTGTGCATTTTCCTTCATTTCACTTAGCTTAGCCTTCATTTTTTCATCTAATTCTCGACCAAATTCAACCAATTCTGCGAGCATCCTGATCACCAGTGCTTTGAACTGTGCATCTGATAAGATGGCTATCTCTTGGTCGCTTAGTTGTATTTGCTGTGGAGTTTTGATCTGTTCTTCCGTTTGAGCTGTTGGGTCTTGTCACACCTCTTACATATGAGGGGCAGAGCCTTAGATGCTCACCAGGG